AGTTCCGACTGGGGGCCGATTTTGCATCTTATTGGCCCCCCTCCTTTGTGTTATTGTTTGCTATGAAAATGATAATATACATGAAAAGGAAAGTGTAAAAATCAATTTATGGATAAAAGATCTATGTCTAGAACTAGTTTTGCCATGTAAAGAAAATTCATACGTCTGCCGGTTTTTGCCGGTCTAAAAGTATTTTTAGATCGACCGGTCACCGGCCGGGCCGGGCCGGGCCGGTCTAAGATTTAAACCGGTCAGGCCGGTCCGGTCTGAATTTTTTTGACCGGTTACAACTCTGGGTTCCAAATTAGTAAATATAGTGATGGCATCATCCACATTGAATGCACTGAGTTCCCACTGAATCAATTGTATAATCTGTCCCATTAGCGAACAGCAGCAGACATTGCTTAAGGTGTATATATTAATATAGACACAAAAAATGTATAATGTTTTGAATTCAACGGTGGGGCTTGAGTGGGCCACCGAATCCAACATTTATTTTTGCAGTAATTCTCTGTGTACCACGAATTCAAAAAGATAAGACAAAGTCGCTTTATAATATGGCTCGATACAGCGTCTCCTTAACTGAGACGACTTTTTCAAGACGCGGAAGATACAATTATCCGCATATATGTCAAATTTCAAGCTTGAATCGAATTAGAACTTTTCATCTTTCCTACAATTTCGGCTTTCATATTGTAACCGACAAATCTCGAATCTCTAGTTTCCAGTTCCATAACAAGATCAGTTTGAATAGACAGACTCGAGAAGCACTTATACAAACACATAATTGCAGCAAGAGAGGGTATAATGAGAAGAATTTCATTAGACAAAGAGAAACACAAGACATCATATATACACTCGCACACAATCAGACCAGCTGTGGGTGTGGCGAAAGGAGTTTCATGGGACACAACAAACACGCCATTCGAACCATACAATGTTTCGATAAAAGTTTCATAGAACTTTCACCTTAATTATTTCCTCAGGCTCCCCATATGTCGAGACATAATCTGTAAAAAGAGTCTGTCGAATACAAAGCTTATGATGAACCTTTGTAAATTTCTTTTGTCATGAAGTTCCAGCTATTGAAAACATACGATGAACGCGGCTCAATCAAGCACGAAACGAGTCGCGTAATGCATTGAATTTAATCTCTTATCATATATATAGTGAAGACCACCTCTGAACTGGAACAAGCCTTGTGGGACATCCTAGATGTCGCTATTATACGGTGACCACTATCCATTCACCGCTTTACTTCTCAGTAATCATTTCAATATATATACCTCGAATCCGGACAAATACTTATGTGATATTCGTATCACATAGAATTCTACTGCAATCGTTTGCAGCCTAAATCAGACGATTAGACTTAAAGTCAAGTCAATACTCGTTCTGGTACTCTGTATCACCACTGTCGGTGAATAATTTTTACATTTTTCGTGTCCAATATCATCAAAGAACCATTCTAATACTCTCTAGAAGTAAATCCCCTTCCAAGTCTTTCAATCGAGCTTGACAACAGCCCTAACATTAGGTTCACTCATTGTAATAGATCACTATTATACAAGGTCAAATCACACCTATTCAGGGCCCAAACTTAAAAAACGCATCAAGTTCACAATTGTGGCGTCAGTTCTACTCTCAACTTCTCACTTTTCATCTTCAAACCGAAGCAATCTAAAAACCCTGAACTATACAATATCTCACTCTCACATCATCGCAGCTGCTGTGGGTGCGCGTAAGGAGTTCCTCAAGGTGACAAGAAAATCCGGTTTCGCAGACATAAAATCCAACATTAGTTAAAACGCAAAATCCTATAGCAAAAGACTGAAAAATAAGATATATACGACAAAATTTCCGAACCATCATTTGAAACTTCAACCACCATTAACCTAACGGACCCCATTGATTCAATAACTTCCATAATACTTCGAAAAATTCGTTTACATAGCACATGATATATATTTTTCGTCTATTCAAGGTATTCACAAACCAATGAATCGATATCTTAGGAAAATAAACAATAGACGTGTGATGCTCTCAATCCCAAAAGCTTTTATAATTAAGTAATATTATGCTCGATTTTGTTATTACGAAATAGTTCTAAACTACTTCAAAATAATGGAGAATTTAGAATTCTTATGTAATAATAGATTGTAAACATGCCTGATGATAGACCCTTAAGCAAGGTCGAAACGCGTCGTGTGATGCTCTCAATCTCAAAATCTCATATAATTAACTCAATATCTTTTGCCGATATCTATCGTCTTCAAAACTTTAGATTGACTCTATTGTTTGAAGTTCTGTATAGATATATGTATTTCGTTTGTGATTCTTCTGAACCATTCAAAACAAATACGACAGAGTTAAAGCCAATTGATGATTGTCTTTTCGGGGGCATGAAATTCGGATCTTGGCATTTTGATACTGGATAGCGATCTCTTTTATGACTAAAAAGTGAATATATGTCAAGGGCAATATTCTTAACGATTAAATACGAAAGAGATTTATGGAATGCGCTCTTTTCTTAATCAAAAGACAACATATTTCTCTGACAACGTCGTGAACAAGGGAATGGAAAAGTTATTTATACAACGACCTCTTGCCTACATGAAAAGAGAACATATTTATATGACAACTTCACTAACAAGGAAATGGAAATCTTATTTATACAACGACCTCTTTTCTAAATAAAAAGAGAATGTATTTCTATGATAATCTCCTTAACAAGGAAATGTTTTTTATACGACGACCTCTTTTCTAAATCAAAGGAGAACATATTTCTTTGACAACCTCCTTAACAAGAAAATGGAAATGTTATTTGTACAACGACCTCTTTTCTGAATAAAACAAAAGATATTTGCATAGCAACATCGTTAAAAAATGCCTCCTTATGAAATAAGTAACGAGGATATTTGTATAACGACCTATTTTCGAAATAAAAACAAAAGATTTTTGTTCAAGAATCTCCTTAGTACTTAAATATAATAGATTGTTTTATAACGACCTCTTTTTGAAATACAAAGAGAACATATTTCTATGATAACACCCATTACAAATAAATAGAAATTATATTTATACAGCGACCTCTTTTCCAAATGAAACATATGTGGGCACCGTTTAAGGGAAAATATGGACACCATTGTAGAGGCACATGGAATCATTTAAAGGGGACTGGTTTAGCACAAAAAGCTAGCCATAAATAGAATATATGGACTTTTGAAAAATAGAATTATGTATTATTACTTCTGTTTTTATCATAATATATTCATTTTTGAGATTTTTAAGATCACATTTAAATGTTCAACTTATTCTACCGATTTACTTCTGTATTTTGATTGATAGATTTGTTTAGTGCCGAATTCAAGTTATCCTATGAGATAAGTCGACTTGTCTCATGAGATAACTCGAAATATTAAGAATAACTTGCTCAAACGTACGAGGCGACTTATCTCATAGGACAAGTCGAGTTATCTCATGGAATAAGTCGAAATACTAGTTGAGCGAGTAAAAATACTTCAGTTAAAAGAAGTGACTTATCCTATGAGATAAGTCAACTCTTGTGACTGAACTACTTTTTTCCAGTATTTCGAGTTATCCTATGAGACAAGTCGACTTACCTATAGGATGGATAAGTCAAAATACTAAGTGAACAAGTATAAATGTCTCAATTGAAAATAGTGACGAATCCTGTAGGATAAGTCGACTTGTCTCATAGGATAACCCGAATTTTTGGCAAAATGGAATGTCTCCATGATAAGCTACATCTGTTTAAATTTATAAAAAATTCTGTACTAATTTATTTTTTTCCAATTATTGACATATTTTTAAAAGTAATTTAATACAACAAGATGTGTACCAATTCATGTAACCAATCAGATTTAACATGTGTGCCTCTATAATGGTGTCCGTATTTTCGATTAAACGGTTGTTTCCCTTAAACGGTGCCCACAAACATAACATATTTGTACAGCGGCCTCCATCAGAATAAGAGAGAATATTTATTTGTGCAGCGATCTCTTTTCTAAATAAAACAAAAGATTTTTTTAGAACGACCTCTTTAACAGATAAATAAGAAAGACAATTATACAATAATCTATTTCTACAAGAAAGAAAAAGGATATTAATACAACGCCCTCTTTTCATATGTGCACTTCCGTATTGGTGGGCCTCCTTCTTACATCAACACAAAGCTCTTTGTGTGAGTGTCCTTTGTCTATGAAACAAAGCGTTGCAAATGTATAAGAAGGAGATGTTTCAGCGTATTGTGCATATTTCTCTTCATTCTGTTCTGATCGATGTTGTATTTTTATCTGTTCTCTTGTAATGTCGTCGCGTTCATCAACAACTACTAACCAATCAATTTCTACATTACCAAAAATTCCTCGTCTTCTAACACCGCTAATGCCAACGCCTTCTGCATTGGACAGAGACGAGTTACTTCGTTTATCTAATTCACGTAGATTTCTTTTCATTGGCGACCACGCAATGCGCACTGTTGGCCTTGATTTCGCCAGAATGTTAGAAACTGGTCATAAACTTTCCGGTGGTGAAGCTCGTGCCAATCATCCCAATTGTAAGGTTTTAAATGGTGAGTTGAATAAAAGTATTGGAATATCTCCTTTATATACAGTATCTAGTGGTTACTTTGATAATAGAAACATATGAACCAGTAAAGAGGGTGTTGGTGTGGTAAAATTGCATAGGTAGTTCTCGTATAAAAGTCATTGAGGCTGAGCTATCATATGAGTCACTTGTACCATCGGAAAATCATAGTGCTACCGGGTTGTGAGAGTTAGACTACTGCTGGAAGTGGAACCAGGTAGAGGTATATTTTACTAAAAACTTGTAAGATAAATCCACGAGATTTCAGACTAGCATTCATCAAGGTAGTCATCTGTCTGATTACCAACGGAAGAGCAAAGTGTGTACTACAGAAAACCAGAAATAAATTGGATATTTGCAAATCCTCAACTAGGCTTGCAGAATTTGCTTAGTATGCATCAATTGTGTAAGTGGCTGCTCGAGAACTCTAGAATTGTACCAGAACGTGTCATAGGATACTGTTTTCTTGAATTACATGCTAGATTATGCCAAAGATACCAAAGTCCTGGTTGTCGTTGTCGGAGACGTCTTCGTTTCCTGTTGTTTATTTTAACTAGCACTAAACGATAGTTGAAAAAGCTGCTTCATGTTTACTTACATGATGTATGGAAATAATTTTGTAATATAATACGGAGACCCTAGTGATAGTACCTGTTGTTTGAAGAGGCGTGTAGAGCCCCGATGCTTTTGACAAATTTTGTTCATGGGAATGCGTTGTTGATGCGTTTTCTAGAAGCATGATATGCAGTGCTTAAAGTTTCAGTAGAATTGATAATTCGACAATTGTTCGCTTGGAATTGATCATAGTTAAAAGTGAGAAGTGTGTCCAGTCATAAATGTTGAATTTAACTGGTCCCAATAGGCTTCCATTATAGGAGAGGAGTACATCTGTGAATTGCAGAGAAGGCTAATTCCATGCTAAAAGTGGTGCGAATATTTGTTGTAATTTATCGGGTAGATTGATGATAAAGAATTCATGTGAAAATCCGACTTTCATCTTGTTTCAATTTTAGGGGAAGTGAAAATTGCTTTTGGTGGTTCGTTGAAGAACGATTATGACAGTCGTTTTTTTGACTTCCAGTTCAACAACACTACAACCTACTACATGTATTTAAACACAATTATTGGCAGTCAAATTGAACGTAATTTGGACTGGATTCGAGAGAATCGATTGTTTGATGTTATCGTTTTTTCCTCAGGTGTTGCTGATATGAGTTTGTAAGTATTTCACTTGTTTTCAACATTGAAAAGAATATTTTTTGAAATCTAGCGTTCAGTTTCGCTGTTTGAATTTAAACTTCGAGGAGCAATTTGCTGCGTATAAAGAGAAATTGCAAACTGTTTGTGATTTTCTGACTCAGAATTGTCACAATCAGAGTTATGGGCGTTGTTTGTTTATTTCAATTCCACCATTTCCATGACGCACAATGTCCCAGCTAGAAAGAGAACAATTTTGAGAAATAATTCATATGTGTAATTCGACGGCAACGCGATTTGTTTTTCATTCGCTTCCTTCTCTTGAGCCATGGCCATATAAGGTCGAGTCGTTTTCTCTGAGGAATGGTTTCAATTTATCTGCGAAAGGTAAGTCCAGTAATGTTGCACTAAAGCTTTAAAGGTAAACAATATCGATTCATTTGTTTTAGTAGTGCGTCGTATCAGCACACTCATAACGAATTTCATCAAACAAGAATGGTCTTAAAATAACATAGAATTATATCATTGTAAATGGTCTACATCAAATTCATCTTATTGTTATTGTCTATCGTAGTGTTTTGTGAAAATTCGTAGAATTAATCCATCATTTTTCTTTGTTTCAATGAATAAACGTTTCTCTCGAAGGGTCAATATGCATTAAGTGAATGGCTAATCAACATTTCTACTAAGAGGATGTTCTGCCAACGAGTTTTGATCAAGGCGGAAAAAGCAAGACTTCATTTACTTCAAAAGTATTCTGAAGTACGCATGAAGTACACTTGAAGCACTGAGGAAGTACTGATGAAGTACAGTGAAGTATCGGTAAGCGGGTGTGGGTGTGGGTGGG